GAAGTTGAATATAAACAAACAAAACTTTTAGAATTTAATTATCTTTTAATAAAAAACATTAAAATTCGACAAGTTTGTAGGCTATTTGTAAACAAACAAAACTTAGAATTTAATTATCTTTTAATAAAAAACATTAAAATTCGACAAGTATTGTAGGCTGCGGACATTTTTGACTAATAAATTTCGTGGTTGCACCACTGTGCCGCAGTCGTTCGTTCCAGACCCTGCATTGCAGTGTGCCAATACAGGTACGGTAATGGTGCCCACCAAGTATTTCAGCGTAGTCAACAGTATCAGTGCATCCACCGGCTCTCATCGCTAATCTCATCATTTTTTACAGCCATAGCACCATCCAGAATTGCATCTGGCGGCTCTCACTGATCCTATCACAGTTATATGGCCGCCGAACGACCTACAGGTGCATCCACCAGCACTCGCCTACACTCTCACCGCTGTTCGGCGCCAACGAGCGATCAACAAGTGCAATTAGCGGCTCCCACTGTTACCCTTGCAGCTATCTGGAGCCAGCACACCATTTAGAAGTGCATCTATTGGCTTTTACCGATACTTTCAGCTATACTTTCACCCTTTCTGCTAATCATCAGACGATTTTCCGGGAGCCTCACCGTCATCGAGAGCCACCGACACCTGTCACTATCGCTCAACGACTCCTATACCGCCGCTATTGCTCTCGCTATCAGTTTGCTTTCTCCCTCTCTTTTAGTATGTCATGCTGCTTACATACGAAGCCGTATATAAATGTTCGATTCAGTAGTGGAAATGTTCGATTCAGTAGTAGAAATGTGCCCACTCCTCGACTCTGGATTGGCTAAGTTTTACCTCAGCTTTCGACAAATCTCGCCTGATAATTAAACCAAAAAAAATATTTATTATTTATATTTTTTCGATTTCGCACAAATAACCCGACCATTTGACCTAAACTGCAGTGCCTAGACTGCTTAAATGCTTTCGTTTTTAATTGTCGTTTTGCTCTTTCATTTAAAATTTGCCACCTTTAGCCCTATATCAGCAGATAGTATTTAAGCAAATATATCACTTTACTTCCAACCCCAAGTGAGTTGCATGTTCTATAAGCTTTCAACCCACATTTGATTGTTTATTTAGAAATGGCGCACCTGCAATAATAAT